GAGCTAAGATCAGTAGCAAATTTGAAGTAATAAACAACAAAAAAATAATCGTTCGATATATGTTACTTCACATAAAAATTCTGAAATTATCCTACGGACGACATACAAAAAGCACGATAAAAATTACAATCACTTTGGTCAATGAATTTGTATCAAATGCATGTTATACATAATTAACGCGAACATCAAAAACAATTACAATAAATACAATTACGACGCAATTGAAATCGAATAAGTACGACATCAATCTAAATGTTAAACTTGGAAATAATGTGATGGTTACATCTACGATAATGATAATTATCCGGTTACCGTATAATTAATCTTCTGACGGCAACTAAAGCATTAAACCAGAAACTTTAGCAGCGTAAGTTTTTCTTCCACTTAATTTACAGAGATTAGGAGGAACAACCGACCACAGTAAAGGACGCCATAATACTGATGGACAGGAGGATGCGTAAATGCAAACGAAAGAAAAATTTTCAAAGTGAATAAGAAAAAAGTCTCGTTTATATAGCCCTTTCATTGTACATATTTTTTCGGTACTACGACATTCGATTATCTTAATAATAATTATCGTATATGTGAAAAATTTGTTATTTTAGAATCGTAATAAGCTTTCGAAATTCAAATAATGCCCCCCTCGAAGGACGTTTCGAAACACTGGAAATTTATTGGTTGTCACTCGATGAAACGACAAGCCTAACTTGTTCTCCCTAAATTACCGACTGCAGTAGAAATGCAGTCCCTCTATTGATAAATATGCGAACTGCACTTTCTCTCTGAACCATCCCCAACAATCGAAATGCCGATTCTCAGGCTCAGTTTATATAAGATCGTGTTCGGCGCGTATACGATCTTGTTGTGGTCGTAGGGAAAGTAGTACATATGTATTTGCCATTTGTACGTAAATTTGTTATAAAGTTGTAAAAATTATGATATCGTGTTAACTCACAGCCTGTAATAGGTTATACTCAGTTTCATAGGCAATCAATATCTCTATCAAGAAAATGACACATACAAATATAATAATTTATAATAATTAACGGTGTGCCCTGTAACAGTTGCATTCGACAGAAGTATGTTATCTTATTCACTGTACTACATAATTGGTATGTATTTCCTTTTCATATAATGTTTGTAATCATATAATGTTTAAAGTTCATATTGATATAACAAACAGATATAAAAATTAAATTCGTATGACCGCGTTTATATACTTTTTTAACGCGTGTCCGATTGTGTCAATGAAAAGGGTCAAGTAGCTATGGCCCTTTAATTAAGTCGATGGAATTAAATGGTATCAGAAGAATGTTGTGAAATATTGTATCGGAATAGGAGAAGTGGTCAATGATACGTAAAATTGCAAAAAAAGCATCTATAGTTACTGTAACCTTAAAAACCGGTAAAATTAAAATAATGCCATTTTGTAGATATGTTGTTATCGTTGATAAATATGTATCGCATGTATAATATTGTTGAATAATTATGACAATGATGCGATTGCTAACAATGATATCGTTGTTTCGCCATATTTTAAAATATTGACAAAAAACAGAAAATAATATCTTCTATTTTCAAAAAGTAGGGCATGTTATTTTTTTTGTTTTCCACATTTGATTTATCATTTATTTAATCATTATTTTTGTCGTTAAATTTTTACAAAACAAAATCTCTATATGGATACAGATAAATCTGTTTTTTCGGAGAATTTATATTATCGCACTTGGAATTGCTTTAACGTTGAAATTATCAATATACGTATATTCTTACTTTACATCGAATAAGAATTAGTATTGTTGGCGATTGGTGCAAAAAGTACGAAGGCTAGCCGAGATTTTTCCTTCGGTAACGTAAGAACATCGGAACGTTTTGCACTGCCTGCCTGGGTATATAAGCAACCAAAAGGCCTTCGGTTTCTTTCAGTTCCTCGTTAAATCGTGAAATGAAAATACCGATAATTTAAATACGTTCTAAATAGGTTTTTCTATTGCCTTATGATATTACAATTCATGCTAACTCAACAATCATTTGAAAAACATTAGTGAGTGTAAGAAGCTGCGCTTCAGTAAAAATCCCAGCTTCCACCAGTAAGAATTTTGTGAATTTGAAGAGTATATTTGAAACATAATTCGAAATAATTTATTTTTTGGGCATTCAAGTAAAGATTACTATTATTATTAGAAAATTAATTATTCTGTTTAGTGTCTAGATTAACCGGCTTCCTATCTTTTATAAAGGTACATAATTTACAATGGCTCTCGATGCAATAGACAAAAAACAATGGCATTCAAAAGGCGGACAATTAAATAAATTTGTTAAAAAACGTATACCTATTACGGCATGGTTACCAAATTATAATTCCGAAAAATTTTTTAACGATGCTATCGCTGGCATTACCGTCGGGCTCACTGTTATGCCGCAAGGTCTTGCTTATGCCACTTTAGCCGGCTTAGAACCTCAGGTAAATAATTATTTTTTGAACAAAAATTTACAATTAATTTATTTTTTTAATTTCGTTACTTTTAAAATAACAAAATATATGTGTGTGTGTTTTATAGTATGGTCTTTATTCTGCATTTATGGGAGCTATGGTATATATAGTATTTGGTTCATGCAAGGATATCACAATTGGACCCACTGCTCTTATGGCATTGATGACTCATGAATATGTCCAAGGTAGAAATGCGGACTTTGCAGTATTGTTAGCATTTTTGTGTGGTTGCCTACAAATACTGATGGCTTTCTTACGGCTAGGTAATTGCATTATATTATTCAATATTTATGTAATATTATTTGATATTTACTTTAAACTGCAAAATGTTTTTCAGGAGTACTTATAGATTTTATATCAATACCAGTCACAGTTGGTTTTACTTCTGCAACATCTGTTATAATTGTTGTTTCTCAGCTAAAGGGACTTCTAGGATTAAAAATCTCCTCTCAAGGGTTTTTAGATACTTTAACAAAAGTGTTACAACACATTCATCAGATTAGTTGGTGGGATACTGGGATGAGTTTCTCTTGTATTACTATTCTGTTATTATTTAGGGTAAGTATTTATTAGTTACATTATTTAAATAATTATAGGAGAAAATTAAGGTGTCTTTATTGTTTAGAAAATGAAAGACATCAAGTTATGTTCAAATAACGAGAAACCAACTAAATATCAAAGGATACTGATAAAAATGATATGGTTATTATCAACAGCTAGAAATGCTGTCATTGTTATAATCTGTTCTACCATTGCTTACAAATTAAATTCTACTGAATATGGTTCTCCATTCATCCTTACTGGTCCTGTAAGATCTGGTCTTCCATCTTTTGGATTGCCTCCTTTTTCTACACAAGTAAAAAATGAGACTTTAAGTTTCACCGAAATGTGTTCAGAACTTGGTGCATCTATAGCATTAGTACCTATAATTGGTGTCCTTGGGAATGTAGCAATAGCAAAGGCTTTTGCAAATGGTGGTAAAGTAGATGCCACTCAAGAGCTAATTACTTTAGGAATTTGTAATGTTCTTGGATCTTGCGCAAGTGCAATGCCAGTTACTGGGTCCTTCAGTAGATCTGCAGTGAATCATGCTAGTGGTGTAAAAACACCAATGGGTGGTTTATACACTGGAATATTAATATTGCTAGCTCTCAGCCTACTTACTCCTTACTTCTACTTTATACCGAAGGGTAATGCCATTTTTCTTATTTTATTCATATTTTATGTATTAATATCTCTAAATTAATATTATTTGTCTAGCTTCCTTATCGGCAGTTATTATATGTGCAGTAATATATATGATTGAATATCAAGTTGTAAAGCTCATATGGAGAAGTAGCAAAAAAGATCTGATTCCAATGTTTGTTACCTTCTTATTCTGCTTAATTATTGGTGTCGAGTATGGAATCTTATTAGGTGTGGGCACAAATCTTATGTTCTTATTGTATCCTTCTGCACGTCCTACAATACATGTTGATAAGTGTAAAGTTAGTAACAAATGAAAAACCGTTTAGTAAAATTATATAATCATGTATTTCTAAATGTATATGAATTGTGTACATTTTAGACTAACTCTGGGGCCGACTATCTCTTAGTAACACCAGGGAATAGTCTTTATTTTCCAGCTGTAGACTTCATTAAAAAGTCAGTCGGCAATGCCGGTATAAAGCAAGGTTCTTGTCAAGTTCCAGTTGTAGTTGACTGCAGATATATCTTAGGAGCTGATTTTACTGCTGCAAAAGTAAGTAATTTAGTAATAGGATTTTATATAGTAAAGTAATAAACTGGTACCTATGGTAATAAGTTTTGATTACAGGGAATAGCAACATTGATAAATGAATTTAACAATCGAAAACAAGGTCTATATTTTTACAATCCACGATCGGATGTTATTGCTGTACTTAAAGGAGCTTGTGGAGAAGATTTCCAATATATTTCTACCCAGGATGAATTGTCGTACTTATTATCGACGCACCAGGGTAATATAAATATATCCACCTTAATATAGATAAGATGATCGGACGAAAATTTATATTTTTTAATTGTTTTCTATTTTTAGAAAAAACATCGCAACAACTGTTGGAAATAACACGAGATAAGTCGCACGAACCATTAATGTTAAGTAGTCCTGAAATCATTCACCGAAGTAGTCGTTCATGCCATGAGCTTAATGAAGTTACAACTACATTGTTACATGCTACAGCTAGTTAAATAGTAAAGAATATTTTCAACTTTTTAAACTTTGCTTTCAACTCTTTTTAAGAAGTGAAATTCAAATTGATTAAATAAGCATTTTACTTTTGCACTTCATTAGAGTAGTGGCATACACATCGCGGGACGTTGTTGGATAATTTTCAGTATTATTAAATTAAATTACAGAAAATGAAATGTTTGACGATTTCAGTACCAATTAAGATGTAAATATATGTGACTTGCTCTACATAAATGAAGTATGTTATATTTCTGCCTTTTTTACACTTGTTATACCAATAAGAAATAAATAATATATTGTGTAAATATTTATGTGTTATAATTTGTACACTCCTATGTAAACGTTTATAAATTACAGTCTTTTCTTTAACGCAATTAATTAATTACAAAGATACATACTTATTTGAAAGAAAGAATATATTGCACACCGTCTACTAAAATCGTGTAATCGCTCCATCACCAAAATACTTATTTTCATACTGAAACGTACATGTTTACCAGATTTATCAACAGTATTAATTACAATATAAATTAGATTGTCAATTGGCCAATAATACGTAGCAACATTGGAGTCGCGTGTTGGCTGAATTGCAAATTAAGATAAATATTACAAACAACGATATTACGTTTTAATTTCGATGCCGTCGTGTAACGAGTGTGAGAAAAGAAATACGAAACGTTTATGAAATATTAAGCAAAAATCGCTTAAAGCTTCTTGATAACTCTCTCAAATCTGTACAAGAATATATTCCAATCTATAATACAATATCTTCTGTGAGCATATGAGCAGAATCAGGAAATTTGAATACACTCAAATAGTTTTAATAAAGCCCTGAAACAACATCAGTGACTTTTCCACGATTTCCACCTGCAGAGGAAGTAGTGTTTCTTCTTCCAATTGGACTTTCTTTCATCTGTTGATTTCCCGAATATTTCCCAGCATTAAACCGATTTTTCCCTAATCCAAATGTGTCGTAAGTTCGTCCAGCGAAAATCCCGGAATCCATCGATTTATTCAAGAACCTGTTACCAATATTCTCATTCTGACAGAATGAATTATGTCTCACGCCATTCTTCATCAGTATCATTGGAGTACAGTCAAGATCTAATTCGTTTTTCCTGGAAGAATTAAGCTCGTTCCATTCTCGATTTCTCTGTTCCTCGTACAGCTCGTCACTTCTTAATTGCTTATTGCTCACATGCCCGGAATAAAATTCATCGCTTTTTAGATGTTTACTCTTCGATTCTTCCTTCCTGCCTTTGGATGTCAGTTCGAAGCAACTTTTCGAGTCTTCTAATCTACTTGACTTCGATCTAACAAGTGCCCTTTCTTCTCGACACTTTTTCGTCTTGGATTGATATTTACTAGAACTCCATTGAGTTTTCTCCTCCATGATTACAATATCAATCATCGAGTCTAGACCTTCGTCGATCCTATCCAAAGATTTGGTTAGTAGATTGGGAGATTTTGGAGCCTCGATGGATCTGGGTCTCCGCGTTACCAGAGGTTCAAGGTTGAAGTCCGTAACATAGAACAATCCACTGTCACTTCCTCCTTGTGACGAGCACTGATCCTTTCTAGCGATATGAGATACGTGATGGAACGACTCTGACCTGCGCATCCTACTTCTCGAGTTTCCTTCCCCGAAAAACTGCTCCTGTTTGCTTAAATTCTCCGAGCTGCCGGGTCTTCCGTAACTTTGGAGACTTCGATGCTCGTCGAAAGAGTTCAGGCTCTCAAACTTTCTAATGTGATTCTCCACTCTACTTTTACTGGATCTTTTCGATCGTGGGCTGGAAGCACTCGATTCGAGATAATCGTGACTCGCAGATCTACGAAGAAGTTTCCTCTTTTCTACCTCGCTTCTATATTTCGAACTATGTCTGTGGGAAATTCCGTCTGTTTGTCTATTACTCGATTTCGTCTCGTTCGTCGTTTTGTTCTTCGTATTGCACGATGTCTCGTAGTTCCTGATCGTTTTTTTCTCTTTTATTTCGTTTTCACTGAAACACCGGAGATCGTCGAAGCTTTTCTTCATCTTACGATCACTGGTATTTTCTGTTTCTTTCCGGTTGCACTGCTTTTGGAAATGATCGACCTCGGTGTTTTTGATTTGTTCCTCGTACGCTTGATTCTTGCCATTATATTTCAGCCGAGAGGCACTGAGAAGGGAATCGCTACCATCACCCAGTGTTTCGTCTTCGATATCTTCATCGTGAGAATTGAACGCCTCTTCCTGGTCGATAAAGTCACAGTGCCTCACTGCCATGATGGCCGACAAACAAGGCGGTGATTTTCTAGGCGGTTGGGGATGTAGAATAGTCGGAACGATTGCTTCTTCCACGTCAGGTCCCTTTACAACGATCTTCACGCTTCCTTCCACGGAAGATTTCGAAACTCTGCGTGTATCACCGTTCAATCTCCTGCCACCACTGGAATCTGTACTGTAATCCCGATCATTACCAAAGTAAGTCACCTGTTCACCTTTGATCACGCTTTGGGACACGTTAGAACCGGTGTTAGACTTCAAAATCTTCGTGTCCGTTTGATGATCTCTCTTCAAGACTTTTTCGTAAACGTACGTTTCGGAATTATTTAACGAAACCTTTGAATTAGTTCTATGTAACTTCGTTTTGGAAGAATTCTCGTTATAAAAGTCCTGATCCCCATGATCTATCCGATTCTGTTCGTGGTTCTTGTCACCGATCTCTTGCTCCGCGTCCTTCACGATAATCCTCAGTTCCTCGATCACGTCGTCTATCGTCGTTTCCTGATCGTTGTCCGGAGACGCGCTGACTTTCTGATGATTGGTTCGCGACTGGTGTTTCGTATTCTCTGGACTACTCGATCTCTCTGACGAGCTGATGCCTTCGTCCTCGGCGTTCGAGGACATTTTCGGCGACTGTTTCGTACCAAGCACTGTCATCTTCTCACGATCCTCCAGGTTGTAATTGTTCAACTTCTCCAATTGCATTTGCTGAAGTTGCGTCTGCAGAGCCGAAACTTTTTTACTGAGAATCCTACAAGTTTCCTCGGCACGTACAACTCGTCGCTGTAGGGCGTCCACGTCCACGCAGTTGTGCGACCATTTCTGAACTTCCTTATGTAGAAGATCGTTCAAAGCATCCTCCTCCCTGCCGTCCAATTCTTTCAGCCATTCTTGAAGGACCTGCGGCTCCAGTCCAGCTTCGCAGGCTTCAGCCTAATGACGAACAGACCAACCGGTTATTCGTCATGGAAATCGTGAAAATATCTTCAAAGATTCTCGAGTACAATTTCTAATTCCTAATCGTAGAAATTCCCTAAGGGACTATCAGTTTTCGATCGATATGCGTTACCTGAATGTACAATCTGGTTTGCGTCCGCGATGCAGATTTTAGGAAGGCGTTCAGGAATGAAACTCCTGCGACTCTCAGTGCAATCGCTGCTCTGGGAGCCAGGAGAGCTCCAGCGAGGAAACGGAATCTTCCACCCTCGCCATATTTCAGCCTAAGAGTAGATACAGCTTCCGAGACCACTGCGTGACCACCCGGTGTCTGACAGACCTTTGTCAGTAACTGGAAGAAGCAAACAATCTTAGAGAAACTTGTAATAAATTCTTGAGCCTGCCGCTTAAACAGCAGCTCGTTCCCCTCGTCTATCGCGATCGAGAGTTGCGCAAACTAAATTTCTTGTGAGAATGAAATTAGAACCAGCACGTAATTAATAGTTACGTATGATGGAAAATAAGAATCGCGAGTTTTCGTAGCATTGGTCGGCAGCTGAATCCCGTCGACAGTTCCTCACCGGCGGGATAACGATCTCTTTATTCTCATTATATTCTCGCTGTGCCGTAACTCTGTGATCACGTGCTGTGGAAGTAATTATCCAGTTCGGTTAGTCAACATCTGATCGTAACCGCGATGCTTGGCAAGGTGCACTTCCTCGGACGGTGGAGGAAATAAAAAGTAGCGGAGAGTATAGGGGCGTGTATGAGGTTGCAAATGAAGCCGGCCGAATAACGTTTGGATAGACGATAAAAACTGGTTCTCGACGGCGTACACTCTCGAAATAACGGGGCCCCAGCCGTCAAGTGGACCGAGTTTGCTGGATACGCGCGTTTACGATTATCTGAATGGGTCAGATATAGTACATAAGAGACGATCATCTTGCCAAGTGCCAGAAGCCTGACCCACTCTATCCCCATTGGGTTCGCTTTTTATTTTTCCTCTCCTGTTAATCGCGCATTCCGTCACAGCTCGGATGCCAACTTTATTGCGCTGGTTAGTAGTACGTTTTAGAGGAGATTGCACGCGAATCTATTCGCTAAACGGTCAGAAGGCGATAAAAGCGCACGATAAAGGCACGCGATAAAGCACTCGGCGAAAACTAAAGATATAATTATTATCTATATACATATGTATACTTGACTCCGAGATCAAACCTAAGCGAAAATTGCGGCGAACAAATCGGTTCAAATAAATAAAGTGTCCAACTTTCGAACTGTTAACACTTGTTAACGTTATGTGACGTTGATATAAGATACATGTATTGTGAGATGATAGGAAGATATGCAAGAATTATGTTCTGAGAGAAGTACGCGATATGTGAAGTATACCACACGTACGACTCCAACTGAATTCGTTTTTGATTAACAGTACCGCGGTGCTTGGAACGGAAGTGACGATTGTTACCTGGAGAGCTAGGACTCGGGACCGGTTCAAGCTACTAGTCAGACAAACTGCCAGAGCAAGAAGACCGGGTTGGGCTTGCACTAGGAGCCTCGGTGCGTCGGTGCATCGTTCGGTGCAGGCAGCCAGACATTCGACGCAACCCAACTCGTCCAGTGCAGCTCTTCTGGTACCCACTCTTGGACCCGTGTGACCGGAAGACGGTGGTGAGCTTTGGGCCAACTGAACACCGCGAAGTGTCTCAAGTAACAAAGTTATCCCATCAGCTGGCGGTGAAGCGAATTCCTGAACGAAGCTGAAACATAATTATTTCTTTCAATCGACGATATAATTCATTCGTAAGCGTGATATTTTATTTGTTAAGTACAAGCAGAATTATTTGAGACGTTAGATACTTTCTTCGTTATTTTAGCGATCTTTGCTAAAGCTAGAATCGTTAGTAAGACATTTTAAATGAAGTTCTATGGTACGGAAAGCGGTACATGTACTACAAAGTGATACATCGTTGATTGCATATCCTAATACATCTATGGTATCGGAGACCGGAAGTAACGGTATGAACACATTTACCTTGAACACACGCATGTGTTCAATATCTATCGTGTGCAGTTACGTGTATATATGCAATATAGCTTGCGGATATCATGTCACGTTTTCTACAGTGTTGCGGTTCAACTCCATCCTATCAAGTCCTCAGACTACTAGCATATGTTTCTTATAGTCCTAGAATCCTTATTCCAGGAATTGGGAAGACGTTCTTCTCGTGGATTATTTTCTGTTATCTCAATTCTGTCTTTTCGTATGTATGCGTTTCTTCTTCTAATTCTCGTAACTCTAAGTATCTCTTCGACACCGTTGCGTGATTCTCGCTCGCGTGATGCGCACTAATCATCGCGGACGTCGCATTATCCAATTTCTATAACGTTAAGCATATAATTAATGAGTTGATAAATAAATCAACATAAATCGGTCAGGTGTTAACGCGGGTATTTATTTAAAAAGATAGAACACGGTGTGTCACTGAGCTGAGTGTCACTGCATCAATCAATCCCGCTACTTGATGCTTTAATGTTGAACCTCGGTATGTTGTGGTGGCTACTGTAACAGCCATTGAACCGTAGGCAAGGTGAAAAAAGGTATAATTACATAATTATGGGACCTTACGATTAAGAGAAAAACCAATCCGGTTTTATAAGCGCGCTATTAAGCAAGTTCCTTCGAGGTTGTCAACGGAACGATTATCAGAGTGACGGCGCAAGAACCCGATAACTATTAATGTAATAAATACGAGGAGGTGGACGAGAAAATATACTTCAATTAAATTACACGCTTTTCAACTTATTCTAACATTATTATTAAACATAAATTCCCAGATACAGGCTGTATGAAAAGGAATCCGTTAATCTCTTAAATAATTATATGACATTTCCTTCTTCGACGTGGTTCCTTCCTTTTTATTTTTTTTTTTTTTTTTTTTAATAAATTTTCGTCGCTTATCGCATGTAAAGGCACGGATGATCGACTTTAGCGTAGCTTCGAGTATCGACCAGTGTCATTATTAGTACTTTATACTCGATTATCGTTCGTCTAGAATTCTTGTTAAGATATCACTTTACCACATATCGGATTCATCGATCGTTCGACCAAGAAGAGGAACAACACGATGGTTTCCCTGTACGACCACATTCAACCGGTAAGTATACGTGTGATGGCCTTAAGGTAGACAGGTGCGAAGCCAAGGAAATAGATATTACGACTGTCAAAGTATGACGTATCCACGAAGAAAGTTCGTTTCGAGACTATATACCGATTGCGTTTCTTCTTTCAGTTGTATGGGATCTTTTCCAGTACGAGTGGGATCTGCTTAATGGACGAGAGCTATCTCTGATCGTGTCACGTTAATTTCCTTAATTATACAGCTGAGACGCGTGTAACATGGTGCACCGGCCATTCCATCAGCTTTATACACCTTGTTGCAGACTACCTCTTCCGAGTCGTGAGAATTTCCTTGCCAAGAACACTTTTGTCACTTTCTACACGGTTCAGTTATTACGCAATCGCGTTATATTTCGCGAGAACTTTGTAAACTGCGGTAAAATCTTCGTTCTTTAAGACATTGGTTAAAAAACGAGGGAATTATCCAGATTTACATAATTAGTGGTATACTAAATTTCGCACGTTCACGGATAACAAGCAAAACAGCTGATTAATCCTTCATAATGTCGATAATATCGCGCGTTCCGTTATTCGTGACTGGCCAAAATACGGGAAGACAAAAAGATAGGTGCGAACGATAAATGGACGACATCGACTCACACCTTTTTTCGACCAACGAGACAGAAATTACGTCAATTACGTATTCGTCACGGTTGCGTATGTCAGTGCAAATTGTCAGAAATTTCTGGTTAAAGTTCAATTCCATTGCCTCACCGAGATAAGTATTTCTGTTGCATAAACATAATGCGTATGTAACGTCGTTTATAAAGCACGACAATGCTGCATTTTTGCCCTGGAAATGATGTGAAGATTTAAAAAATTGCATACCGTTTGATCATTTTACTTGACTCGAAATTGTAAAAAGGAGATCTCGAATTCAACTGGTTCGTAACTTGAAAATTCCCTAATATTAGTAACTGATAGATTATTCAGCAGCTGATGCACGAATAACAGCTTAGAAGATAGTTCGTATACGAATAACAGCTTCGTTACTCACCCACGGAAATATGTTCTTAAAATTCCGTCGCACGCCGCATTCTCTACGAAATAATGAAAACACGTGTTTTCCTTCATCGGAGGACTAACAAAAGTAATTATTCCCGGAGGAATTCCGCGTCCACAACGTTACCCCGTGTTCCAAATTTTTTCCCGATGATTGGACAAACAGTCGTAAATCATTCTGTAGCTCGCACCTACGGGCTTCTAAAAAGAAAAAAACCAGGCTATTCAAGATGAGGAGACGTTCTCGTCTAGACGGTGATTCTATAAACACCGTATATAAGCGCCATGTACGCCGGTTGAATGCATGCAAATGAGTATTAAAACGTTTTCTATGTAACCGCCTATGTATATGCGATCGTCGCCTATTTACCTTAGGGTAAACAAGAGTGAGAAAGAGAGAGTTCTCTCGTCCAACAATAGATGCATTATGTTAGCCGTCGTATTATGCATACCGTGCGGGGATATCGTGGTACGCACGTGTGTAAGTGTACTAGTGTACGTGCGCGAAATACACCGCGGCATTACGATTCTACGGCGCGAACACCGTGGATAGCCTTTGTTGGGCTCGTCTTAAAAATACACCAAGGCCCCCATTTGGATACTGGAGAAAATGAAAGCTCGTGCGTGAACGAGAGTGACGGTAAAAGATACGTAAGAAGCGAAACGTGACCGCAGACCACCCTATGCAACGTTGTTAAACCGATATCAGTATAAATTTCACGATACTTTCCACCGCTGTCCATAAAGTTCGAGACGGATGAAAGACATCGATGATAGTCTTCGATGTTCGTTTCCTTCGTTTAAATTCACGCGAGAATTGCGGTTTATCTTGCAGGTACTCGCAGCTCTACGATTCTAAGAGTGAGCTTTTATTCCGAGATAATGTATTCATAGGCGATCGGAAAGAGTTTCGCGCGTGGTGTAAAAAAGAAAGACTAGCGGGACAAAGAGGAATTCGTTCCAAGGAGAACGACTTCGCTATCGAAAACACGCTTTCCGTGAAGACGTCATGCGAACTTTTGGCCAGCAATGGGTGCATTATATTACATCCCGCATTATGCAGACCACGGTGTACGTAAGAATGCCTTCGGCGGACGCCGCATGAATACCAAGTGTTCCTTATTGCCTGGTGTGTGGGCACACCCTAAAATTTAAGGCAATGGACGACACAAGAGCAAAAGAAAACGAAAGCCATCGTAACTTGGGACGTTTCTCTTTCGCGCGATATTTTTGGCCTGTGCCTACGTTGCGTAATTCACGCTCCGCATCTTCTTTTTACTGTGTCTTTTTTTCTTTTTTATTATATCGGAAAGGATCGACGAACAAATCGAGGAAGTTAATTTCACTTAGGAAGCTACATCTGCCATCGTTTTTATTGTTACTCGAAAGACAATAACCGATGAAAGATAACGTCTTATATAACGGAGGCTAATTTAGAGAAGCTATACGTCGAGGTACTACATTACGTATATATTTTACGAAAATATGTGCTGACAATATGGATAAACCGCACGAAGGAGGTAAATTACGAAATATGTATGTACATATAATTCCTATTCCTGTAGGCACCTACAGTAGCACCGACGATAAAGGCATCACGTTTCTGTCGTAATAAATTATCGTCTATTAGCATGCATGGTGTTACGTCGTAAATAAAGGGACGAATGGAATATAAAACGTTTAAGAGGATTACGCGTGCATGTTTTAAAAGATAAATATCTCTTGTCACCCAGATATTAACTAAACGCACTGCTGCGATTAAATCGAAGTCACGATTGTTGTAAATATAAAAGTTATTTCACGCGACATAAATCGCGATTCGTTTCGCCTTCACTGTGTCAAAATACTTACTTCGTCACGTCTATGCGAAATTTAATTATTTCATCGATGATTGCTGTTCAAAGAAAAGCGAAATTTGGGTTAAGAAAGTGAATGATTGTTCCTTTGTTGAAATACGAAGAAACGGGATTTGATATCGCGCGAAAAAATAAGACTTCCTTGGTTTCCATTAAGTAGGAAGCAGTTACGCATTCTCTGTTACGTGAAACGGAAGCATCGTGGGGTATCGTGGGTTCGGTGGCCGGTCGAGGCTTCTTCGACGCGGTTGATATTCCCCCACGTGGAAGAAGAAGAAGAAAAACAGGGGGAGAACCAGGCTGGTTTATAAGAAACGTACTGTATAAATTTTACGAACCCTTTTTCTTTTTCTGACGAGATAATTATGTGCTTCTAAGCGAACTGTAATCTCGAACGTTAATACGAGACACCCTTCATTAGGCCTTATCATAAAATGCAAACGCTTCTTTGCATAATCTTTAAATAATGATCTAGGAGTTCGTCCAAGTATCATCGCTTTCTAACATTCTGTAAGAAAAATGTAAAAGGCTATAGTACTTTATCGATGATCTGTAAGATATTTTTGCAATCGACACTGAGTTTCCAAATGAGCAAATTTTAGATGTAAATAAACAAAGCCGGGATGCAAATAAAAAATTCAGCGTACAGATATGCATCCCAGAAAATAGAAAAATTAATCTGCAATGCGAATAAAGAAATCCTGGATGTAAGTAAACAAACGTAGATAAATAAATTAAAAATTTAGACAAATCGGTAGGGGGGATTTGTTTATTAATGTGGTAACATTCTGACGAACCGGTTTCGTGAATATTTGGCAGATACGAAATTCAACGCACAGTATCCTTCATTCTAGTGAAAAGATTCGTTCCGTGAATACAAAGAAGTTCGGTTTTATGAATGGACCAAGGAATCCTTTCAGTGACCGCTATCCAAAAGGCAGGTCCTTTAAACGAGTAATGATTGACGAAAGAAACCGACGACGAGGAATATCAATGAAAACGAAGCCTGATTCGCATAGTAAGAGCCAAGGCACGCGAGCCTTTGTAGAATGATGAAGAATTCTCTTTTAAAGTTTCCGATATCAGCGTTTCACAAGAGAAAAAAGACGTTTCGTGCTCAGGGTGAACTGGTTATCTCGAACAATTTGTTTCAAATCGCAAAGCTCTTATTTAATTAGAGCAATGCGAACGTCTAATTAAACGCCCGGTCTCAACAGTTAATAGGTGATAATAACTCGTTATGCCCCGGCAATTCTTTTCTTTCTTTCTCGCTCCGCCGAGTATACGTACACTCTAATAACACGTTTGTTTCATTGACGGCCCGTTTCAAGGCACACGCGAATCCTTAAACCCTGCTGATCCCACAACGATAAAGATAAGAGACCGTTCTCGATGAAAGTACGTTGCGGCAATGGAAAACTTGGCGGATGGAAAGCAAAAATTCCATTCGACTGCTTGCCATTAGTTTCGTACCAATGATTACAAAGTCAATTATTCCGGCATAGCACGGAATAGAATCCTCCGACTTATCTAACCTGTGGATTTGAACAAGAACGTGGAAAAATTCCAACTGTTCGTTAACCCAAATCCAAAGACCGACTATTACCGAGATTACGGATATTCTGTAAATTCTTACATTTTCGATACGGTTATCCCGAGAACCGTGAACATTCTACGAATTTCACGCCGATATTACAAAAACGAAGGTTGTTCCTTCGCTGTAGATGATTCTTAACATCGTGTGTCCGTTTCTTCGCCCCAGATAACACGTACGTTTAGCCTTGTAACGAAGTAGAAAAGAAAGATAACCTGGCCGATAACGTAATCGATCTTGACGGCCAATTATTACGATCGGTTTCAAAATAAATCGATTCCGCCAGCCGAGTCGTCGGCGGGCAACCTGGGATCACGGTAAAAACGTCTGTTAAACGGTCTAATAAGATCCCGACAAATGATACGAAGGTTCGATCTTGGAAATCGAGGATGCGCCTCATCCAGATCGATTTGCGCATTGAGCACGGCAACCCAGCCGCTGTACAGTTATCCGTAATATCGGCATTCGTTTATCCGTGGCCGCTACTTACATTACGGGTTATCTGCTCGCCTCTGCGGTAAGAAGCTTGACCATATTATAAGTCATCCAGCGAATGTGGGACACGCTCGCGTCGTCCATATGGCCGTTGAGGTATGGTACCGTTCGTGTAACATCCGCGATCACGCGTGTCCACGGATCGGTGACAGGACAAACCGGTGAAAATTGTCACACCAAGTTTGATTCGGGAATTCGCGTAACAGGTTGTCGAGCTTGTCGACGAAGTTACCCGCGAGACTCGAGATTTCTCTTTAGACGAGACTAGGAGAAAATGTTGGAATATCTGGTTCGAGATAAAGTCTTCTTTCCTATCTTCAATGAGAAGTCACCGTGTCTTAGGATCGAAGACATAGGTCGTACTGGATCAGCACTTGGAAAACCATCCTTTTTCTTCTTACAAGGAGACATTGTCAAAGGTCTAGGTCCGATCTGGATGAAATTTTTTAGGTTTGGGGAAGAGCCAAGAATGGTAGATACGTATATTTTCTTAGCTGTGCTAACTTAAGTTTAAGGGATGAAAACATCCTCCGAAATTTGAGCCGTTAATACTCTGCAAAGGATATCTCTTCCGTGTCTTACTGCGAAAAGTTTTCAATCTCTTTGGCAGATAACGTAGTACCGAGAA